ACTACCGTTGCCCCACTGGAGCTGAGTTCGAGAGATCCCACCACCTGGGGGCAGGGGAGAGAAGGGGGTAGTGGCAAACAGGGCAAGCTGAGGCCGAGCTACTGTAACTGTAACTGTTAGTTCCTTTTATGTTTACCGGGGAAGTGGCTTCAGGAAAGGGTGGAGGTGCAATATCACAACAAAGTGGCGGCTCATACTCTGCTTTTGATTTAAAGTACCTGTTCCAGTTACTTTTGTGTAACTGGTTAAAAAAAACTAGTGGAAAAGTTAAAAGTGTAACTTTCAGAGTAACTATTCCAGTTACTTTTGGGGGAAAGGACAAGAAAGATTAACTGTGGCTACCAGAGCAACTGTAATGCATTGGAGGTGCTTAGAGCCATAACTAATTACTTTTTAAAGTAACTTTCCAGCCCTGCTACAGAGGTTTTTTTGGTGGACAAGCTGACAATGACCAGGACTGGCTGCCAAACCAGAGGCAGGTTCAACAGGATACTGACCATAATGAGCTTTACCAGAAAAAAAAATCAACAACAATCCGTCCTGGAAATCTATTTTGAACGCTTTGCTGACAAGCTTTTCAAAGGGCTTCCTTTTGCAGGAGGGAAGAGGGAGGCAAACCGTGAGGGTTGTGAAATTAAAGAAGCGAACAGGAAGGCAGTTTATATTTATAAAAAATATTGGATTTGGGAGCTTTCCCATTCAAAAATACAACAGGTACTTTGGGTTTTTCTTACTGGAAGCCCATCATTTCTGTTTCACCAGACACGTTCGGGCAGCGTGCCACCAGGTACGGAGGCTGGAGCCTCACCGCTAGAACCGGAAAGCGTTCGGCTGCTCTTGCATCTAAGGCAGTCGGTGTTCCTGTTGTCGTTTCAGCTTACAGAGTGGCCCACGATGCTAAAGCACTCTCTGGGTGATTTACAACATAATTATACAAACAACACTTTGCTCCACCCTCCAGCCATCTGGGTACTCATTTTACTGGCCTCAGAAGGATGGAAGACTGAGTCAGCCTTGAGCCCGGCTACTTGAACTTGTTGCGATCAAACTCAAGTCGTGAGCAGAGGCTCGACTGCAGGACTGCAGTTTAAGCACTGCATCACAGGGCTGCTTGCTACCTTGTACCCCAAGAATCATGCTATGAAAATACCTAGACTCCTACTATTTTTCCAAGGAGGACATTTATGTTTGCAGGCATTAGTAAAGGTTCCCCTTGACATTTAGTCCAGTCGTGTCCGACACTAGGGTGCAGTGCTCATCCCCGTCTCCAAGCCGTAGAGCCAGCGTTTGTCTGAAGACAGTTTCCGTGGTCACGAGGTGAGCGCGACTAGACACGGAATGCCGTGACCTTCCCACTGAGGTGGTACCTATTTATCGACTTGCATTTTTACATGCTTTCGTACTGCTAGGTTGGCGGGAGCTGGGACAAGCGACGGGAGCTCACGCCGTTGCGTGGATTCGATCTTACGATGGCAGGTCTTCTGACCCTGCAGCCCAGAGGCTTATGCGGTTTTACCCGCAGCACCATCACATCCCTTGCAGACATTATGTGATCACATTTACTTAGTGCAAACATCCAACAGAATTCAGGCTCATGTAAACAGTGTAAGGAGGAAATATAGTACAAGAAATAGTCTGTGACAATTATATTAAGGCTAAAAGTAAGGGTATTAAACAAGTTTAAATGAGTTTCCAATACTTTGGCTTAATCTGAGTAAAGCTCATGAGTGTATACAGGAGTTGGAGTCTGTGAGTCTGTTGAGGCCTGTGGCTAAAGCAGTCATGTTTGCTCTCAGTTTGCTGTTGATCTGTTCAACTGCATGTAAAGAAACATGTTTTATTCTTTCTCCAATTAATATCTCAGAGAGTTATTGAGACTGCAAGTGCCAGATGATGAGTAAAAAGGGGTGGACTAAATTGGGGAACTTGAAGCTATTCTGGTCTGTGAGTCTTTGCACTTCTGCTGTGCACCCAGAGGAATTCAACCAAAATCCCAAATTCTGCAACAGTAAGTTGCTGTAATTCATTAATGCAGCATTGGAGGTAGGCCATGCTCCAGGTGAGCAAAATCCAGGTGTCTGTCTGTGAGTCTTTGCACTTCTGCTGTGCACCCATTGGAATTCAACCAAAATCCCAAATTCTGCAACAGTAAGTTGCTGTAATTCATTAATGCAGCTTTGGAGGTAGGCCATGCTCCAGATGAGCAAAATCCAGGTGTGTGTTTGCTTTTTAATTATTGTTGCCTGCTGAATTTTTTTTTTAACCTTGCAATTCACTGCACTTTTTGTGCGACTTGTTTAAACTGTGGTTTCAAACCCTCCCCGGGAGGAAGACGGCTCAGGAAGGTAACAAACAAGCAAACGCACAACGAATTGTGCCACAAGCAAATCTTTCCACTCGGCTCTATCTTGGTGACAATTTTTACTCGCCCGCCCGCTCGCCGGGATCCCCACTTAGCTCTGCTTGTGCGACAGCCCAGCCCGCCTGCCAGCACACAACCCACAACGAATTGTGCCACAAGCAAATCTTTTGACTCTGCTCAATCTTGGTGACAATTTTTACTCGCCGGGATCCCCACTTAGCTCTGCTTGTGCAACAGCCCAGCCCGCCTGCCAGCACACAACCTGCTGCTGTTTTTAAATATAAAATCAATGTGACCACATGTCTATAAACAACCCCACGCTTAGGATACTGTTAGGTGTTCCTTTCTTCTCCTGCTTCCTGGCCGGCCGGTCTGGCAAAGCACTCTGTCAAGGCGTGATGAACCGATGGGAACCGTGAGTCACTCAGGTTTCCTGAGGAGAATTTGGCTTTGGGAGGGTGAGGTTTTTCAGTTCCCAACAATGGCAATTAGATGGCCTCCCGATACAAACAAGTGCTCTTTTTTTGAAGAAGAAGAAGTAGAAAGGAAGAAAAAGCAATGTCTCTCACTAAAATAACCGCAAAGCATCTCAAAACAGAATCAAGGTGGGAAGGATTCTGTTAGCATGGGGTTATCTATTCTCCTTGGCCCGGAAATTAGCCTGCACCTAAGGAACCGTTAAAAAAAAAAAAAGGACCAGCCGTCCGAGCTTTCTTTTAAAACCCACAAAGTGGAGTGTAGACATTTATCCCAGCCACCTCTTCGCTAAACTGGGCACATCCGGCCCAAAACAGTTTTTTACAGCTTGAGCGCAGATTTTGGAAGCGACTTATTGTAAATGAAGCCTGGCTGGATAGCTCAGTGGGTTAGGTATCAAGAGGTTGGGGGTTCAATTCCCCACGGAGCCTCCCGTGAATAGAGTCAGCCTATGTAGCCTTGGGCCAGCGGCACCGTCCCAGGGCTCCCCCTAGAGGAAGGGAAGGGGAAACCACTTCTGAGTATCTCTACCTGGAAAATCCTGAAAAGGCTCATCATAAATCCGGATGGACTTGACCGGACATGATTATTATTTTATTCTTAATAACAGTATTGCTCGCCTGTAGTTTCTGTGGGTATTGCCAACGTATATAACTAAAAGATAAGCATTTGATATAGTAATTGGGAAATGGGGAAGGAGAGAACTCATTTTAAAACTGCAACTATAACAGCACCTATCTCTTTTAGAGGTGCTTACAACTATACTTCTATTTACATTTTAAAAGTAGCATTCCAAGGTCTAAATGTAAAAAATAGGTGATCCCAAGATCTGTTTCCACACCAGGCTCCCAATCTGGAGACATACAAATTTGAAAATTCAGATTTTATTTTCACACACCATTTTCTCTTAACATCAGCAAATCTCCCCAATATATGCCTATTTCTGTCCAGTGTTTGCACAAGGCGCTATTAAAATCCCGCCCTGCTAGCTCAGTGGCTTAGGTCTCTGGCTTCAGAGCCAAAGGTTGTGGGTTCGATCCCCCACAGAGCCTCCTTGGCAGGGACCGGACTTGAGGGTCCCTTCTAGCTCTCCAGTTCTAAGATGATGATGAGTACATTATTCGCACTTCCAGCTTACGGTGACCCTGTGAATTCCTATGAACTCGTAAAAGTCCCATCGTTAACAAGTCTACCTGGCTCGGGAAGAACCTTTCCTTATTCTGCAAGCACAGTCAATTCTGGGCCTGGAGAGCAGGGTTTCAAAGGCAGACTCAAATTTTTCTGAAGATCAAACTATCACCCTGAGGCTTTTACTCATCCTTTACAGAGAAAGCAGAAGGTGCAGGTAACCTAACCTGAGTTATTACCAAAAAGGCCCCTCCTCTCTGATTCCATGCGGCCCCTCGGGAGCATTCCATCTTGATGGGCTTCCATCTGCACCTCTCAATGGCACGTCTGTTGCCCTACAGCTGCGGTTAATATGGCTTCTAAACTGACAGTAATTTGTTTGCTTATATTACCCCATTAACCTCGCTCCTACGGACAAATAACTTTGGCTCACAACGGCGCTGTGCGGGAGAACCCCTTCCAAAAGATCTGTTCGCACACACACAGAAAACCTTCTAATTTTCAACTGAAAACCTCTCCGGGAGACCAGATATGGAGAAGCAGAAATGGGTAAGCATACTGCGGTGCTGTATCTCAGTTCCGTCTGGAACTTCGAAAAGTAGCCTTGAAAGGTAACTTTTTCAAGCTTCTGTTTGGTCATACCCCAGAAATAGATCAGAAGCGGCGTAATGAACACAGCAGAATGCAGGAATGGGACAGAAGCTTCCTAATGAAAGCAACAAGATTAGGCACCAGTGTTGAAATGAAAGCATCAGGCGTGAAGCTATCCATTTTTCCAGTGTCAAGAGGTAACTGGCTGGATAGCTCAGTGGATTAGGTAGAGGCTGAGAGTTTGATTCTCCACTGGGCTTCCCAAGAGAAGAGCCAGCCTGGGTGGCCTTGGGCCACCTGCACCGTCTCAGGGATGACCCCAGAAGAAGGGAATAGGAAACCACTTCTGAGTATTGTCTAACTGGAAAATTCCGAAAAAGGATGCCGTTAAGTCGGAAGTAATGTGATGGAACATGAGTTTAAGAGGTGAGTGAACACTTACATCCACTTCCCCTTGGTCGATCACATAGAAGTTGTCTCCTTCATCTCCTGTAAAGAAACCAAAACACAGATTGTTGTTGTTGGTTTTTTGGATGCTTTTGAGAAAGTGTTTCCAACCTGTGTACAGCACGTTTTTGCTCATGGATCGAAACAGCCTTGTTTGCCATTGTGCCTACTGCAGATGTTGAACTACAATGCCCACCATCCCCAGCTAAAACAGCCTTTAGAGATATTAATAATTGTCGTCTGGCATGCACAAAAGGCCAAGCTGGGTGAGGCTGTTCTAGACGAAGGGTAGACAAATTGTTCTTCAGTCTCATTTTAAAAGATCACTGGAAGAGATCCAGGGATAAAGGTGGAACCCAACCTGGGGATGGCCAGATGTTCTTGGACTGCATCTCCCAGAAATCCTGGCCAGAACAACTGCTGGTGAAGGTTTTGGGGAGTTTAAGAACATCTGAGAACCCAAGGTTAGGAACCATCAGTATTGACTTACAGTGGTGCCTCGCATTATGACGTTAATTCGTTCCAGCAAAATCGCTGTAGAACGAAAACATCGTAAAACGATTTTTAAAAGCCCATAGAAACGCATTAAAACCGAGTTAATGCATTCCTATGGGCTGCAAACTCACTGTCCAGCGAAGATCCTCCATAGCACGGCCATTTTTGCTGCCTGTGCAGCGAGGAATCCGTCCCAGAAAACAGCAGGCAGCCATTTTGAAACCGCCGATCAGCTGTTAAAAAATCATCGCTTTGCAAGAATCGGTTCTGGAAGCAGGGAACCGATCATCGCAAAGTGAACTTCCCCCATAGGGAACATTGTTTTGCGATCGCAAAAACATCTACATCAAGCGGTTTCGATTGCGATCGCAAAAACATCGACGTCAAGCGTTTTCAACGTTAAATGGAGTGCCCGTCTTGCGGGGCACCACTGTATATGTCAGGTAAACACAGGTTAGAAATTGTTGATCAGAAACATCCAGTGGAAGGATTGTAAATCCCTGCTTGAAGAAAGTTCAATAATGGTATCCTCACTATGATTTGTTTCTTTTGATCTTGGAGAAAACATACGCCTTTCCATGAGCAGTCTGTAAAAAGTTCATTATTTTAAAATGCAGCCATTGGATGAATTTGCAAAGAGTATGGGCCATGGATGGGTTGCTTGTATCTTTTTGATTGATCAGCCTGCCTATTGTGCCACAGAAAGAGGGCATTTTGTGCCAACTCGAAAAACCACAATGCAGAATCGGAAACAACCGGCATACCTGTCTTGCTGGTCTTGAATTCTTTCAATTATAGAAACGACCCAATTAGACTACAGTGTCAGTAACTGCAAGATTTGTCACCTCTCTAGTTAGGAGAGTGGTTTAGGGGAGAATGTCAGGCAACAGAAGGGCCAAATTCCTGGTGTCTCACTTGGACACCCCTCCTTTCCAGCCTTCCATTTTGCATAACGAGTGGTCAAACTCATTAGGTTTTGAAAAGTGTCTGAAGAGGGTTTTGAAGATGGGATTTTCAGATTTTCTGGACTACAGGTATCATAATTCTCTCAAAATAAATTGCAGACACTTTATCAAAAACCTAAATATGATGCATCCGGAAGAAAGGCCTAAATCGGAAGGCTGTAATACTGAGCTAGGCCTAGACATGCCCAAGCTTCCTGTTCAGAAAGAAAGTTCCCAGGTAGCACTGGGGCAGGAACAGGAAGCTTGGGGGGAGCTAGGCCTAGCTCAGCATCACAGCCTTCCTGTTTAGGCCTTCGTGCCAGGTTGAGCCACATTTAGATATCTGTAAGATGTCAGTCTCTCGAGTGGAACTCCCAGAATGGAGAGTTCTGGGATTGGTAGTCCAGAAAAAAGCCCAAATCCCATCCCTGCATGCTGTTCCTTCTTAAACAAGGAAGCTCATAGAACGGTGCCTTCCGCATCAGAGATACTATACAAAGAAGTCTGTGCTTACCCTGTTGAATGACAGTCTCTCCAGCAATGTGGGTCACGGGGAACATAGCATCAAAAATGTCACTGCATAAGGAAATAAAGGGGAAAAGACAAAACGTTATGGGCTTATCAAACAAAAGCTCTGTATTGATTGATCATAGTGTCTAGATATTAAATATGGAAAGAATATTGAATTTCGTGTGGATAGGACAATGGCTCTCAACCCTGGGTCCTCAGATGCTTTTGAACTGCAACTCCCAGAAATCCTGGCCAGCACAGCTAGTGGCGAAGGCTTCTGGGAGTTGCAGTCCAAGAACATCTGGGGACCCCAGTTTGAGAACTACTGAGATGGGGGAGGAAGGAAGTAATGAGGGATGAATAGAGAGAAGCAGGAAAAGGAGAAAGGAGACAGGGCAGGATGGAGAGAGAGAGAGAAAGAGAGAGAAGTAAAAAGTGGGCTGGAGGCATAGAGAGCAGAAGAGGGAGAGAAAAGTGACTGTGGAGAGAGAGAGAAAAAAGAGAGAGAGAGAATGAAGTAAAAAATGGGCTGGAGGCGTAGATAGCAGAAGAGGGAGAGAAAAGTGACTGCAGTTAAGATCATGGATGGATAAGGAGAGGAGGTTTGTGGGGGGGGAGAGAAGGAAGCAGGGTTCAAAGGGACTGAAAGAGATTTTTCCAAGAGATCTGTGGTGGATTAGGCCAGAGAGACTACATGCTGTCGGCTGACAGAGTGATAACCCGAAGCATGGGTCAAAAAACAAAATAGAAGCATCGCATGAAAACAGCAATTAAACTGCTTTCCCATGATTAAGGTAGCAACACAGCCCTCTTGAATTAATGAAGAACATGTACCAGAGGGTCTTCAGAGTCCCTGGGGTTGGCGTGTTGTTCCCCCCTCCATGTACCAGAGGGTCTTCAGAGTCCCTGGAGTTGGCGTGTTGTTCCCCCCTCCTATCCAGAGCACATGCCTCACCATGCCACATGAGCGAGGAGAACAAAGGCATTTTTTAAAGATCCCCACCCCCGCCAGCCTGGAGGTCAGCAATTAGCCTGTGGCACATTTTCGCTCCCATATATGGGAAGCCACACATTGCAGAATCCCATTATTAGCTTATTTCCTGTCCAGCCGTTCCAAAATTCACTCCGACTTGGTTCTAGGAAACACCCGGTCATAAATTTAAACTAAAACATCATCTTCCCTCCAAACGAGAGTTATTGTCCTTGCTGGAGAAGAGGGGGCCCTGTATGATTAATACACACAGATGGGAGGGAGTTGAGTTGAGAGAGAGGGTGGCAGGTGGGCTCAGGGCTGAAGGGTGCCCCCTAGTGGGTGAGTAGATGCTGTCTTAACACATCCAGATGTGGACCACAATGCCGGTCAGGTCTAGCCAGCATAGCCAAAAGGAGGGATGTTGCAGTTGAGCAACAACATCTGGAAGGCTACACATTCCCTTTCCCTATGGGTTTCAGTAGCCTATCCAGATGTGACTGATAAAGACATGAGTTTAGGAGCCCTACTGTGCTTGTAAGCTATCTACGTTGACCAGAGGAGCATAGAAGGTGCCCTGGTATTCTCAACATCCTACATTTTCCTCCTTGCAGAGACGGGAGAACTTCCTTTTTTGAACTAGTGACCATGCCAAGTGGAGTACTCCAGGTCTGGTAGATCCCCAAAAGTCACTCTTCCTCTTGCTACCTTCTTGGCAGAGCCAAAGAGACCGGATGAAGGCGGGTGGCTCTGACGCCTGTGGAGTGGCACATCCACCCTAGATTTTAGTTTGAACCTCCAAGGAGCTTTCCAAGGTGCTGAACCGATTAGGAGGGGTGCCATTCAGCACTGCGGACAGCTCCGGTGGCATCTGAACAAAAAACTGACAGGACGCACTGCCCTGATGACATCAGAACTACTCACTTCCACTGCAGGGAGCCCTCGGAAGAGACAAGATGAAGGGGAAAACGTATTATGAGGGCTTAGGAGTCTAATAAAATCACTGAATAGAAATCCCCTATCAGTCTTTATATAGGCAGACATTTTCTCAGCAATGACCAGAATGTAGAGTTTAGCCTGTAGCCTCTTAAGAGATGCTCACTCTCCCTCTTGCTCTCCCCCTCCCCTCTCTCAATCAAAACCTGGCATATTACATTTTAAAAGGAACTTATTGCACTACTCATTACTTCTCAGTAGTTAAGTTGCCATTACCATTCTCATTGCTGTCAGCATGCTAGTAATTGGTTAAAGGTAAAGATAAAGGTTCCCCTTGACAATTATTTTAAAAGGAACTTATTGCACTACTCATTACTTCTCAGCAGTTAAGTTGCCGTTACCATTCTCATTACTGTCAACATGCTAGTAATTGGTTACAGAGAACATTATTGTTAAGATTCATTGACACGGTGAAGATGATTATCAACAAGACAAAAAAAATAGAGAAAATTAGACCCTGGTGGTCATTTTTGATACTGCACCTTGGAAATGCGTATAGATAAAAAGAAGACAAAATCAGAAAAGACATTGTAGGCTTCTGAGGACTAATAAGAGAAGGATAAAAACCATAAAAATCCTCATGAATATGCCTCTAAACCGCCCTTTTAAAGAGCCATTTGAATGTATCAACAACTGAAATCCCATTCCTTCATGTAATACTGGCGATGAGAGTAGACCTGTTGAATTGGTGGGGAATTCATCAGTCCATTCCTCTGTCAATTAGATGGATTCAGATTGCCTATGCTAGTTGTGACTAAGTATGGTCAGTGGTGCCCAGCCTTGAGCCTCCAGATGTTCCTTGAGTCCCCAGATGTTCTTGGGCTAAAATTCCCAGAAGCTTTCACCACTAGCTGGGCTGGCCAGGATTTCTGGGAGTTGTAGTCCAAGAACATCTGGGGACCCAAGACTGGGAACCATTGACTGAAGGGTGCCCCCTAGTGGGTGAATAGCAACTTCATTTCTATAGTAAGACGCACGAGCACTAGTTCTTAACCTTTGTTACTCAGGAGTTTTGGACTGCAACTCCCAGAAGCCTTCACCACCACCTCTGCTGGCCAGGATTTCTGGGAGTTGTAGTCCAAGAACATCTGGGGACCCAAGACTGGGAACCATTGACTGAAGGGTGCCCCCTAGTGGGTGAATAGCAACTTCCTTTCTATAGTAAGACACACTAGAGCAGGCTTGTCCCACCTTAGCCCTCCAGATGTTCTTAGACTACAGCTCCCAGAAGCCTTCACCACCACCTCTGCTGGCCAGGATTTCTGGGAGTTGAAGTCCAAAAACATCTGGAGGGCCAAGGTTGGACACCACTGCACTAGAGCACTAGTTCTTAACCTTTGTTACTCAGATGTTTTTGGACTGCAACTCCCAGAAGCCTTCACCACCACTCTGCTGGCTGGGGTTTCTGGGAGTTGCAGTCCAGAAACACCTGAGTAACAAAGGTTAAGAACCACTGCACTAGAGTATGCCCTCTGAAGCCGTAGGCTTTTGGCCAGTGAGTTCCTCTGTAAATGGGGTTGATCCAGTGCTCCTAAATTAATCGCAACTTCCAATGCTACCAAACAAGATTTCAGCCCACGTGTTTCTTGTTACTCCTAAGAAATAATGGTGTTGCTCCTAGTAACAGAATTCATTGCCCCATGAACAACTGCGTCTTGTTACTAACTGCTTCCAAGCCCTGGCAGACTGGTGGGGGAGGAAGATTTCCTTGTTAAGGAATGTTCTTTGTTGCTGCTGTTATATATAAAAAAAGAAAAGAAAAGGCATCAGACATATTTAGTTCACGAGATGAGGAAAGGGCCTGTCACAAATTCATAATTTTAAAACCATTATAATCCATAGATTATGGCTCTGACAGGGGAGACAGGTGTTCTGAATTTTCCTTGCTCCACTGAACTTTTATTACTCAGGACAAAGACATCGCCTTGGGGCACTCAACACCCATAACTTAGTCCAAAACCACCCCTTTATTTATTTTCTCTTCTGCTGCTGCTTTTTTTTTTTTTACTCGTAAGCTCCTATTTATTATCTTACCTTCAGGTCAGAAGACTTCCAAGTTGGCTTTTTTTAAAAAAAAAAAATCGTTTATTTATTGCACATCTAAACTGTCTGCCTTTCTGAGTTTTCAGCACCATGTCCAAGGTAGGTAACCACTTAAATCCACTCCTGCTGGAGGAGACCCACTGATTAAAAAAAAGGATTTATGTTAATGTGGACTCACCACTCAGGGGGTGGATGCTCTGATTTGGTGGGTTTCCTCTCTGATGAGGAATAAACCTGCTGGAGGAGACCCACTGATTAAAAAAAGGATTTATGTTAATGTGGGCTCACCACTCAGGGGGTGGACGCTCTGATTCAGTGGGTTTCCTCTCTGATGAGGAATAAATGTTGGATTTGCAAGCCATAAGACGCGGGAGGAGAAAAGCTTGGGTTTACAAGCAAAAATTAAAAATTAAAAAAAAGAGTACAAAAGCATCATATATATTTGAAGGGCAGTGGCATCATCTATCTTAGCAACCACACAGATGTGTATATACAGACGTGGATTATAAGGTGCTGGTGGAGAAATCCTATATAGGCTGAATTTCAGGAGTCACTCTACAATGATGATGTATAGGACTGGAATAAAAAAAATCCACAGAGCATCAGATTGGAGAGTATGAAAAGTTTGGTTATTCAAGAAAATGAGGTTCACTGCTGATCTCTTAAAAGAAACCAGTAACTTTCATGTAACACGTAAGGTTGTTGTGCCCTCTACAAATCTACAGAATTGGAAAAGTGTTTTCTTTTCTATTCTAAAACTACGTGGCAATCTTACCTCGTCACTCCTTAAGGACGTGATACAATGTGGAGCTAAATTATCTTATCCTCTCTCCACCACAAAATTAGGATGTTTCCCACCAGAGACGCTTTCCTTCAAAGCTGCTGGGTCTGAGCAATCAACCTGCAATGGAGGCTTGAACCTAGCTCCCAGCAGCCAATCAGAAAGCAAAAAACAAGTTCATTTGCAACTTGTGGGCCCCAGAAACCTCACACTAAGGTGCATGGATGAACGTAGCCTCTCAAGAGAACTCCCTTTAGTTTGTTAATTAATTAGTAA